GTGAGCACCAGCTGACACCCATCATTTGGGGTTGAAGGGGTCCTGTGAGCACCAGCTGACACCCATCATTTGGGGTTGAAGGGGTCCTGTGAGCACCAGCTGACACCCATCATTTGGGGTTGAAGGGGTCCTGTGAGCACCAGCTGACACCCATCATTTGGGGTTGAAGGGGTCCTGTGAGCACCAGCTGACACCCATCATTTGGGGTTGAAGGGGTCCTGTGAGCACCAGCTGACACCCATCATTTGGGGTTGAAGGGTCCTGTGAGTACAGTCTTTGTGCCTTGCGGCATGGGGCAGGGGAAAAGGACTGCCATCAGGACAGCCCTGTTTAGGTCCCCTCTTTGAGCCTTGCGGCTTGGGGGATGGGGCTACAGGGTTGTCTTGCAATGGCTAGCCGGGCGGATGGTAGCCCTGGCAGTGGGCTCCCACTCGGGGCAGGGTGGCTCACCCTATTGAAGAGGTAAGGGAGGGGTCCTCGACCTCTGGCCTTTACCATACCACAAGCTGTTTTGCCCTTGCCGTTGGTTCCAGTTACAGTTGTCAGTTAATAAAGTGGCGCTATATTTAAACCCAGCACTTGTGTCCGCCTCGTTATTTCGGCTTGGGGGGCAAATGAAACTCTTCCACCACAAGGAAATAAATGCTACCACCAGAGCTACTGCTCAGCCACAAAGCTGCTAGATAGGTGTTCACCACCGCAGACAGCAATGGACCAAACAGACTTGGCTTGCACATGATCACGACTGTCAAACACAGTATGTTCATCTGCAGAACCTGTTCATGGCAAAGTTTGTAGCATATTTGTGGTAAACCAAACAGGCATCACACCCTGAATCAGTCCAGCGTGCATGGGTGTCATGGATCAACCACTGAATTATCTCTTTGTGGGGCCAAATTTGCAGAGGTGTCTCTTATTTTGGTTAATATATTACAGTCATTCACATATACATTGGTTTAATGTAAATACCCTTACAACTAGAGTTCATTATAATAAAACATTTCTCTTCTTTAGGATTGTGAACAGTTGGGAAGGAACAGACAATTGTCCTGGTTTAGATTGAGCGAGCAGCCTGTAGCCTAGAAAAGGAGGGGAAGAGGCACGTGTTTGGAGGACAGCAACATCTGACTGCAGCTACAGATGGAAATTTCACTAATTCTGGATGCACCATAGTAATTAAGTGTCTGCTTGTTTTAATGAGGACTATATTGATCACGTGGATGCCTGTATTCAATCGACACATGGAAAATTACATAGCTTTTAGGAAAGAGAAACCTAATTTAAGGCTGAGTTTCTCTAAGATCCCAGCTCATGAGCTTCAACATGTGTTATCATGAAGTCACCAGGGAGGCATTTCCAATATTTACTCATGTTCTTTATCTGCTGCTCTTATCTTTTGCTTAGTTGCCTGGCTAAATTCCAGGTTCTATGATTATGGAGTCGGGATCCTTATGTGGGGTCATTGTAGGACATTCTTGTAATGTGGCATAATGTTTATAGGAAATAAGGAATCTAGTTTCTCATTGTGTATGTGTGTGTGCGTGATGGTTTGTTTTTAATTCTTGTTGCTATTGTTATTTCTGATCCGTTTCTATGCTACGCATCTTGAAGAGTCAGACTAAGATCTGGTAAAAGCAAACTGTTTAAAAAGAGCAACCACCAACTTTACAAAAATTGAAAATTATTTCCAAAATCCAATAAAAGAAGATATGTAAAAACATTTTAAAGAGTCTTATCTGTTTTAAAAATAAAAAAGAAGGAAAACCTTTGTTGTCTGAATTTTCTCTGCCATGAGGAATTCGGTTCATTATAAGATAGTAGCCATCATCTGTAAGGACTTCATACTCTTCATTTGGATAGTGTTCATATTGTATGATCTCACTCTGTTAAATTGATAAAAAAGATTAAAATGTTGGATTTGGATTTGGATTGTTACCACCACATTCGAAGCTGCAGAAATTTCAACTAAACTACTACCCTCTTAATGGACCAACATTGTGTACATAGTTTGTATTACCACAACCTGCAACCTGATTGTGAGAGAGGGGAGGATCATCTACCTAAGCTAATGTTTTTACCAATGAAAGATACCCACTAGAATAACCAAAAGTATTATGGAACATCAGACTCCTTCATGAACACAAACAACCTCACCACACATATCCATACAGCATAAGTGCACTAACATCTGAAAAGTATGTAAGCAATGGGAACAGCTGGTGAGAAGAGGAATGCAACAAATAAAGGAGAACAACTAGTTAATAAAAATCTTCAAACCAATCATAATCATTCCATAATTTGTATCTTGACATGGTATCTTCCAAAACACTGATGTTTTAGGCAGAGGGGGTATGTGCACCCAGATGTGTGTTTTCACCAGTCTAGAAAAGACTCCTTTCTGAGCTTGTCCTTTATTTAGAGGGTGAACAGTGTTGGAATATATGAGGTTTGGGGGGACCTACTTGAAGAAGAACAGCCTATAGGTGACAGCTGAAGGACTGCTAATTAGCATAGCTAGATTAGGGACTCCCCACAATTTCAATTATGTCCTCCCTGTCTCCTGAGAGGCATTTTTTGTCCTACATCTTTGTTCAGAAGAAGATCTTCCTTCGAAACGGCAAGTCATTCTGGAGAACACTGTCAATATATTTTTCTATGATTATGTATATTATTTTTGTTCACTTTTCTATGATTCTTTAAAGACATATATTAAGAGTCACTTTTTCACAGTTTTTCTTGTTCTCCGTATTCTCTCATTACTGTGCCAATCAATTGTTACTATACCTGTTTGACAGATGGACATGCCTTTGGATCCGCGCAGAACATGATGGTACATTTGAGCAATGTTCAGTAGGTGATGTGAAATACTTCCAATTGAGACCCTGGAGACCAGCTGCTAGTCTGAGCAGACAATACTGATCATGATGGACCAATATACAGATTCAGTATAAAGCAGCTTCATGTATTCAGTGTTACATATACCAAAGAGAATGCATTCATGCACCATCTTCAATATATGGTATGACTGTATCAGTGCATATATTCATGACGGTGCATCAGGCAAAATAAATGACAAAACATTAATTTAATTATTCGGCAATCCAAATGTGTAAAACTAGGATCTATCATAATTCCATTGCCTTTTACTGACTTAGGCAGACATCAGACCAATTTATACAACTGATTTATCCTAGAATATTGAATTTCAGACTGAAATTGGAAACAGATCAGCCAATATCATAATGCCCTTATATAAATCAATGTTGCGACCTCATTTGGAATACTGTGTGCAATTCTGGTCACCACACCTTAAAAAGGATATTATAGCTTTGGAAAAAGTGCAGAAAAGGGCAACTCGAATGATAAAAGGGCTGGTACACTTTCCCTATGAGGAAAGGTTAAGGCGCTGAGGGCTCTTTAGCTTGGAGAAACGACGACTGAGGGGTGACATGATTGAGGTTTATAAGATTATGTATAGGAAAGAGCAGGTAGAGAAAGAGGAGCTTTTCTCCCTTTCTCACAATACAAGAACTCGTGGGCACTCCATGAAATTGCTGAGCGGTCGGGTTAGAACGGATAAAAGGAAGTACTTCTTCACCCAAAGAGTGATCAACACTTGGAATTCACTATCACAGGAAGTGGTGGCGGCTACAAGAATGGATGGCTTCAAAAGGGAATTAGATAAGCACAAGAAAGAAGACCCGCGAAACTCGCGGGGGGAAGCTGCAAACTCAGCAGGCGTAGGAGGAACCAGCAGGAGCAGGTAAGCTCTCCACTCCCCCCATCCCACCGGTTCCTCCGTCTCCTCCCTCCCCCCGCTCC